CTTATGCCTGAGGTGCACTCCCGAGAAGCTTGGCCGGTGCAGGAAATACGCGACATCGAGAAGTGCCATGGCAAAATCTGCGCCAGGCAGTGCTCTTCCTGTCCTGATGCCAGTAGCACGGTCGTGGTCCCCGGCATGTCGCTGCATGCATGCGAGTGCCAGCAGAGGCTTGACGAGCATCGCCCGGCGGTGCTCAAAGCGTGCGCGCATTCGCCACATGCATTGTGCAGCCAATCTGGAGCCGCCTTCCTCCTCACCTGCCTTGCGCAGCGCGCCGGAGAAGTTGAAGTAGCCGTCGAAGTGCAAGCTAGGCGACAGCAAGAACTAGGCAACCACTTTCTTCAAATCAGTCGAAAGAAATTCCGAGAGTTTTTGGCAGAGCTCGACGAAGCACCGCACCTCGGTTGCATATGGCAGTACTCTGGCTGTGATGCGTTTTGATCTGATGAGTGGTGTGAACTACTGTGTGACGGCTAATTGCAGTAGATGCCCTGCCAGGCAGCATCGGCCATTGTGGCTATGTGATGAACATTTGCTCGACGGCTTGGACGTGTTGCATGGAGTTCGGCAGCTACCGCTTTTCGGTGCGTCCTTCAGTTGAGGGAGCGGAGGGGCCGCCGGACTTGGGGAAGCCGGTGAGTCTTGTAAAACTCTGAGAGCGGAGCAAAGGTGCGGCCGATCTGCTCCTGGCAGCGCCAAGCTTGGGCCCAGTGTCGCTGGCTGCCGTTTGGATTGCCTCGCCTGGAGCTTCGAGCTGTTGGCGGCGAGATCCCGTGTGTTGGAGTGGCCTGTCCCGGGTTTCTGGCACGCTTTCCTCATTTTGCCCTTGAAAGGCAGATGCCAGCCGTACAAGATCTGTCTCTAGCAGAGTCTGGGTATTCGATTCCTGTGGCCGGTTGCTGCAACAGGCACGTGTGTTTTCCTGTTGCTGGGGAGTGCTACCCTCCACCTTCGCCCGCGCGACTCTCCACCACCAGCGGCATTGCCTCCTGGATTGGGTGGAGCTTCGACAGCTCCCTTCTCTGTGGATGCCGATGCGGAGTACGACATTCACGTGTCTGTTTCTTTGCCGCTGTTAGCCGGAGCTTGCACGCGAGCGATTTCAACCATAAATCAGGAGCTGCGAGTGATGTTGCGCGCGAGTCGGATCTTGACCTGCACGAGAAACACCAAGGCAGGAGAGGTGGCAGTGGTACCCGCCGGTTGGTGGTACAACTTGAGGAGTGAAGTGGCTTCGGCATTGCATTCGGCACGTCTTGCACGAAGTCAGTCTTCTGTCCGGGACAGACATGACTGAGGCAAAGGTTTTCGCTCTGCAACTACAGCGTCTGGGTCCGGCTGCTGCAATTTGGGCTTTGCCTCGACTGCGAAGTTTCGGCTATTCCGTGCAGTTCAGTGCAACCTCCCCCGAATCGCTGCAGCCTTATTGTGACCCAGTTCAGGAAGATAGTGTACCGGGAATTAACGACTGAGCGGACATCAGGCTGGTCAGAAGTGTTGAGGCAACAGCGTCTTGCTTGCAAGTATCTGCCAGCCCAGCCTGCACGCCGCATCCAGCACTCGTGGTTCTCCTAGCAGTATAAACACCATCTAAGGCGTCTCGACTCGGCACGCTTTCGGTGCTACGACGCTGCTGCAGAGGCCTGCATCCCATGCAGAGCGAGATGACATTGCCGCTCATGAAACCAGTTTCTGCTGCTTGGCCAGAAGCCTTTGACCATGAAAGCGCCCTTCATGAGTTTTGCGCCAGGCATGCAGCGCCCGCTCTTTATTGACTATGCTTGCGTAGCAAGCATTCAAATGGGTGGTTGTCAAATCTAGGGTCCCTTCTAAGACGGCCCCGAATATGTAGGGTACCCAAATGGCACCATAATTTTGACAACTCCCCAAATCAGTGTCAAGTCGTCGTGTGTCACAGTTTGCGCCGAGGCTAGCAACCCGGGTGAGCTGCTGCAGGCCCTGCCGCACCTTGCTTGGGACATGGTAACATGGTAATGTAGGAACCTGATTAAGACACCCTAGGCCTATAACCCCAAATTGTCTGTTGTAATATGATTCATATAAGGAACCCTAATAAAGGCTCAAGGTTCCTTAATCAGCTTCCTACGTTATGGCTGTTGTAGCTGCAAACAGTACCAGCTGGCCGCCTCGGCCTCGGAAGCCTCTGTAATAATACTCATAAATAATAAAATGACGATAATGATAATTTAATGGCATGAGTATAAATACTGATGATAGTACTAGCAATGATTTCAGTACTACTTACATTCACTTTCCGCGGGCCTTTGTTTCGTGTAGACTGTAGACCCATGCCCGACTTAATTACTTTCCAGGGTGGTGGTGAGCAGAATCCTTGCATTCCCCTGGTGATTTCTTAGTCGGGCGTGGTTCTGTTCTGACCTATGGGATGACTTAATGCTCTCCGCGGACTACTGTTTATAGTTCTGGTCCTGTCACGGCAGGCATTTCTAATCCGAGGTCCGCAAGTGCTACCACTGTGCCTGACAGTATTGATCGTGCGAAGATAGGTGCTCGCCTTGTCGTTCTGAATGCTGATGTTTTGAATATCAAGAATGCCAATATTCTAGGTACTGCTCTTGATATCAACGATGCCTCTGTCAACGAACTGCTTTGTTGCGGGAGCGGTTGGCGACAATAACAACAATCATCTTTATAATTGCTCTTGCCGTTCTGGAGCTGCTCCTGCTCCTAGTACAGGTACGACTACTGCTGCTCCTACAGAAAGGTAGCCTGGCCCCATGGCAACCCGGTCCTACTCGTGCTCATACTCGGCCGCTACTTGTGCTGCTGCTGCTGCAGCTACTACTAGACCTACTGCTGCTGCTGCTGCTGCTGCTACTGCTGCTGCTACTGCTACTGCTACTGCTACTGCTACTGCTACTGCTACTGCTACTGCCACTGCTACTGCTACTGCTACTGCTGCTGCCACTACCACTACCACTACTACTACTACTACTACTACTACTACTACTACTACTACTACTACTACTACTACCACCACCACCACCACCACCACCACCACCACCACCACTCCACATGACAATTAAAGGACCGGATAACCCCACATGTGAAGCTTGTCTATTGGTAGACAATCTAAAGACGCAAAAGAGTGAATGAAGATGGGAGTAAATGGATGAGTGATTGAAAGAATAAGTGGGTGCTGAGAGCAGGCCCGGGAGGGTCTTTAGTCGCGGAAGAGTCTCGCCCCAAGGCGCGCGCGGCCTTGGCCAGAGCAGGCCGGGAGGGTCTTTAGTCGCGGAAGAGTCTCGCCCCAAGGCGCGCGCGGCCTTGGCCAGAGCAGGCCCGGGAGGATTCTTTAGTCGCGGAGTCTCGCCCCAAGGCGCGCGCGGCCTTGGCCAGAGCAGGCCGGGAGGGTCTTTAGTCGCGGAAGAGTCTCGCCCCAAGGCGCGCGCGGCCTTGGCCAGAGCAGGCCGGGAAGGTCTTTAGTCGCGGAAGAGTCTCGCCCCAAGGCGCGCGCGGCCTTGGCCAGAGCAGGCCGGCGAGGGTCTTTAGTCGCGGAAGAGTCTCGCCCCAAGGCGCGCGCGGCCTTGGCCAGAGCAGGCCGGGAGGCAGAGCAGGCTTGGCCAGAGCAGGGTCTTTAGTCGCGGAAGAAGTCTCGCCCCAAGGCGCGCGCGGCCTTGGCCAGAGCAGGCCGGGAGGGTCTTTAGTCGCGGAAGAGTCTCGCCCCAAGGCGCGCGCGGCCTTGGCCAGAGCAGGCCCGGGAGGGTCTTTAGTCGCGGAAGAGTCTCGCCCCAAGGCGCGCGCGGCCTTGGCCAGAGCAGGCCCGGGAGGGTCTTTAGTCGCGGAAGAGTCTCGCCCCAAGGCGCGCGCGGCCTTGGCCAGGGGGGAGGATCTTTAGTCGCGGAAGAGTCTCGCCCCAAGGCGCGCGCGGCCTTGGCCAGAGCAGGCCCGGGAGGGTCTTTAGTCGCGGAAGAGTCTCGCCCCAAGGCGCGCGCGGCCTTGGCCAGAGCAGGCCCGGGAGGGTCTTTAGTCGCGGAAGAGTCTCGCCCCAAGGCGCGCGCGGCCTTGGCCAGAGCAGGCCGGGAGGGTCTTTAGTCGCGGAAGAGTCTCGCCCCAAGGCGCGCGCGGCCTTGGCCAGAGCAGGCCGGGACGGTCTTTAGTCGCGGAAGAGTCTCGCCCCAAGGCGTGCGCGGCCTTGGCCAGAGCAGGCCGGGAGGGTCTTTAGTCGCGGAAGAGTCTCGCCCCAAGGCGCGCGCGGCCTTGGCCAGAGCAGGCCCGGGAGGGTCTTTAGTCGCGGAAGAGTCTCGCCCCAAGGCGCGCGCGGCCTTGGCCAGAGCAGCCCGGGAGGGTCTTCAGTCGTGTGTGAGGCCAGGAAGTGTGTATGTGTGTTTGTGTGTGTGTGTGTCTGCGTCATGAAGTGAGGAGGAGGAGTGAGGAGGAAGAGGAGGAGGAAGGAGGTGAAGGAGGAGGAGGAGGAGGAGAAGGAGGAGGCGGGACAGCCCCAAAAAGTAAGAACCCCACACAGTGATGTGGGGAATAAATAGCTTGCAACATATACAACAAACCTAGTTGGTTGGAAGAATCTAAGGTAAGTCTAAGCTCGACAACCTTAAAAAATAAATCAGCTGTGGGAGCAATATGAACTGTTGTATTTTCCTAGTGGTGTGGGAAAGCGACATTAAAGTGTGACAGGCTAGGTTGCAAGTAGAACTCTCTGAATGATGATGAAGGACTTTATATGGCTTATGTTATGGGATTCTAAGGGTGGGTGGGTGTTATTTCTAAACCGTAAATACAACTCTACTTTAGAACTGCTCGATCCGGAGCTGCTGAACCCTAAACCCTAAACTCTAAACCCTAAACCCGGAAGCCCCAAACAAAACTGGACAAAGGGTGATTCATCCTACGGGGCCAGGGAATACACCCTGGGACCCTAAACCCCTGAACCCCTAAACCCCTGAACCCCTAAACCGCGGGAGGCCTTAGAGGATCGAAAAAAGCTCTAAGCCCTGGGGCGCCTCCTCCACCCTCAGCTCGGCCCGCCTACTGGTTTGCATGGCCTCAGCTGGTAAGGAGTAGGGTTTAGGGGTTTAGGGGTTTAGGGGTTTAGGGTTTAGGGTTTGGGGTTCAGAGTTCAGGGTTTAGGGTTTAGGGTAGGGGGGAAGCTGGTTGCTTACCTTTGGTTAGTAGGGAGTGGTAGGGCTCCCTTTAAGGGGGGTCTATAAGGGTTACTATAAGGGATCTATGGTAGGGAATGGAGGAATGGGGAACAATTATAACTACTATTACTACCATTCTTCCATTCCCGACTAACCAAAGGTAAGGGTTGGGATGCGGGGCTTTCGTGCTTTGCAGGGAATGTTTTACAAGGTTATATGGGGTTTTAATGGGTTTTGTTGGGTTTCGGAAGATTCTAGACTGTCAGACCGTGCATCGCCAAGAGGGCGATGATGCTGGGGCGAAAAAAGGGGCCTTAAGAATTAGTACAGGGTTTTGGGGCCCATTATTTAATTATAATAAGGAAACCCCGAAATAGTATAGGTAATTATTAAGGCACCTATGTTACCACAAGTCCGAGCATCAACCAGACAGCAGAACCATCCCGGGGCGAGCTCGGAGACGCGATCCGAGAAACAGCTTTTCGCATGCTCGAGGCATACGGAGCCTCGAAGCAGTCTCGCGAGCGAGCCTGAACCGGCCATGGTCTGACAGGAGGAAGAAGCTTCAACACCCCTTGGATCTGCCGGACCAAGGGCAGATCCAAAGGGTGTACAGTACCACTGGACCAGCACGACTGCTTCTGTGCTTCGCCGTGGCCCTCGAGAGGATGAAGGGTTAAGGGCGCACGGGCTTTGACATTTAGGGCGTAGAGGCTTGGGCTTGACATCAGCATCACACCATGCCATCCAATCACAGAAAACACCGCACCGATTTCGGTAGGGACCTGTAAAATCTTACTTTCACTCCTAAAGCCTTGAAGCCCTCCAATGGCCCTCCAACTCTTGAAGATGTATACCTTTTGAAGATTGATCCCTAAACCCTAAACCCCTACATCACACACAAAACCCCTTAAGGGCCCAGACTCTCAGGCTCTTTCAGGGAGCTGTCCGAGCTACCAGATGTTTGAAAAGGTGCCTTCCGAAGACACACAATGCCATGGAAAAAAAAACCATCGACTCCCCTAAGACTCTATGGGATCCTGAAAAAATCCTGTCCAACCCTACCCTTAGGGTCGGTGTTCAAGGTTTAGGGTTTAGGGTGAGAAAAGGAGCGAGATTCCACCTACATCAAGATCAACACCCACAAAAAAATGCAAAAAAAACGCTTAAACTAAATCAAAATCAACACCCACAAAAAAGGCAAAAAAACGCTTCAACGGAGCCCTCTGAGGCCAAGAGCCATGGCCATGATCTGAAGGATCTGCTTCGACTGGTCCACTCGCTCCTGCTCTTACGAGGTGTTCGCGGATTTTGGGAGGGTTTTTAGGGGTTTAGGGGTTTAGGGTTTAGGGTTTAGGGTTTAGGGTTTAGGGCTTTTGAGGTTTAGGGTTTAGGGCTTCAGGGCTTTGGGTTTTGGGTTTACTCTCTTCTTCAACAACCGGGCCCCAAAAAGTTCAAACTTTCTAAGATACAGCGAATATATAAGGCCAAAAAGTTTAAAGTTCGCTAGCTAAGGTTCGCGGATTTTGGAGGGTTTAGGGCTTCTGAGGTTTAGGGATCAGGGGCTTAAGGTTTAGGGACTAGGCTCTAGAGTTTGTGGTTGCGGGTTTAGGGACTCGGGTCTAGGGTTGAGGGATTGGGGCTTTGGGTTTGCAGTTTACTTCCGGGGTTTGGAATCGGGGATGAGGGTAGAGGGTAGGCAGGGCAGGGTTCCCTCTCTGGGCTTAGCCGCACCTACGAAGTGGAGGCCTAGAGGCCTTGAGTTTGGGTTTAGGGTTTGAGGCTTAGTTCTATGGTTTGGGGTGTAGGGTCTTAGGGACTTTCAGGGATCGTTAAGGCCTTGGGGAATTTCTGAACTGCAACCCTTCGCAGAAGGCTTCATGGGGCGCTGAACCCTAAACCCCAAAACCTGCAAATACCCCCAAAATCCTAAACCCTACATAAACCTCAAACCCTGTTAGGGGGTGTTGCAGCTTTATGGTGTTTATAGGTTCAGTATAATAGAAGCCAACAGAATAAGCATAAGCAGAAGAAGAAGCTCTGGTCCACAACGTATGCAGCATTGCGGTTTCGGGCTTGTAGTAGAAGCCAGAAAGTTGGAAAATAATTTTCCTCATACCCTTAAGGTATAGTATAAGGGACCCTCGCACTAATCCTCCTAAAGCCATGTTCCAACTTTCTGGCTTCTACTATACTGTTTGGACCGCTCTGGATATTGGCATCTTCGGCCTTGCACGCAATTGAATCTTACTATAGGGGCCTTAGCAATTTGAATATAGTTTTGGGGCCCACTATACTATAAGTATAATAAGAAACCCACAAGATAGTATAGGTCATTATGAGGGTCCCTATACTACGGCCGCAGACTTAGAGCCCATAGGCCCTGCCCTAAACCCTAATGTAGGAGCCTGGTTAAGAAACTTTGGGACTTTTTTAGGGCTCCTTATATGAACCCTACTGTTTTCCTAGGGCCACGGTTTCCTAATCAGGTTCCTACATTAAAGCTATTCTCATGTTTACCTAGAGCGCCACCGGCTGTCCTGCAAGAGCCAGCGGTCTGACTGTGTCCGGGCTTGCACACGCTGCAGCATGACCTGATCGGAGAGCCGTGGGTAGTTCTTGACTTTAGGGTCCCTTAGGGGTGTGGTGCTTCTTGCGTGGGCTTTATACTAGGGTCCCTTTAGGGTCCTTTTTTCTGGGCTTTATATTGGGGTCCCTTTGGGTGCCTTTTATGTGGGTGACTCACCTGATCGTAGACACATGTAGAACCTTACAGAGGCCTTATAGCGGAAAACCGCTAACGCTTCTCGAGACCTGTGCAGGATCGCTTGTAGATCAGAATCTTCTGGTATAGCCCGTGAAAAGCCCTGATGAAGTTAGGCAACCTTCAATACAGCGCTTCGTGGGATATTCTATGAAACTTGAAGGTTTGGGCTGCGGGGTCTTACACGGATTCGGGTATAGGCTTTGAGGTTTGGGGCTCATAGGGTTCAGGCTTGAGGGATGTAGGGTTTAGGGTGATCCAGGGCACTGGGGTCCAGGGTTTTTGAGTTAAGCTAAGGGAGTTAAGAGTCCAGAGTTTCTGGGATTTCGGGTTGCGGGAATTGTGGTTCAATTAAACATCCAACAAATTAGGGATGCGGATAAAAAGTGCTCGGTAACGTACCTATTGGGGCAGGCTCGTCCCCTTACGATAGGGGCCTCAACAATTAGACTAGGGTCTTAGTATAAGTTTTAATAAGGAGCCCCCAAAATAGTCTAAGTAATTATTGAGGCCCCCATATTCAGAGTGGGAGCTCTTGATGCTGAACGGTCACTACCCCCTTCTGAACTGTTAGTTTTGAAGGGTTCGGGTTTAGTCTTTCGGATTGTTGGGCTGCAGGGGTTCAGGGATTTGAAATACTTTCGACACCAGAAACGCTGAGTAAAGAGCGCAAGAAGGCTCTGCCCAAGCTTGCATTCTAGAGACCTGCGGCATTCCCTGCGGCACCGATACACATGAGCCCCCCCAACAGCCGTAAGCTGCATGTCGACAGGCGTCACTTACTGTCAGAACTGACAATTTCCACAAATGGGGGATCCTAATATAGTACCCTAAATAGTAGGATCCTGTTATAAGGACCCCAAAATGAGGTAGTTCGGAAACTCCCAACTAGACTTTAGCGTTTCGGAGGCCCGGGGTTGAGAAGTTGGGGCTTAGGCTTTCAGGGCCGTAGTGCTCAGGTTCTTGTTTGAGACGGGGGCAGGGTGTATCATGAATACGAGCTATGGCAGCAGCGAGGCAACAACAAAAGGAAGGCCACCCAATCAAGATAAACCTCTACCTGGACCCCCAAAGTATGTAAAATAATAGCCTTTTATGGGTATTGGGCCATTACTTTGCCTACTTTGGGAGGTTTAGGTAATACTTCCGAACAGGCACACCTTGAATAGGAGCTTCATTGCAAGATGATGCCCCGAATGAAACTTCGGGCTGACTCCAGCAAAGGTCCCCGGAAAAAAAGAAAACTACCTGTTTTGCTTCTTGCTGAGATGTTCATCATCGAACCACAACCCTCGGTCAGCATTGCAGAAGAAACAACTCATTGGCTGAAATAACTGGACAGCTGCTGCTGGACATCCTTGCTGTTACCACCATAGTCTCTATTACCCCATGTCACCACAGATCCATCAGCCAGGACAGCGGCAAAGGCCCCTCCAGTCGCGTGAACATGCTGCACCTGCTTCAGCTGCTGCTGAACTGCACTGCTGTCGCCGCCGTAATCTGCATTGCCCCATGTAACCACGGAACCATCACCCCGGATAGCCGCGAATGCCCCTCCAGAGGCCTGAACGTACTGCACATTGGCAAGTTGCTTCTGCACGGCGCTACTATCACCACCGTAGTAATCCTCATTGCCCCATGTAACGACAGACCCATCAGCTCGAATGGCAGCGAATGCCCCTAAAGTGGCTTGGATGTCTTGCACGTTCTTCAGCTGCTGCTGAACAAAGGTGCTGTCACCACCGTAGCTTGCGCTGCCCCACGTAACCACGGACCCGTCAGCGAGGATGGCGGCAAAGGCTCCGATTGTGGACTGCACCCGCTGCACGTCGGTCAGCTGCCGTTGAACTTTACTGCTGTCACCACCGTCCTTTGTGCTGCCCCATGTCACCACGGATCCGTCAGCTCGTATGGCAGCAAAGGCCCCACAAGTAAATGCTGCATACGCGTAGCAATGAGAGACAGGTATGAGTCCAGTAGCCTGGATGTACTGCACATTGCTCAACTGTTCCTGAACAGCACTGCTGTCCCCTCCGTCATTTGCACTGCCCCATGTCACCACGGATCCATCAACCAGAATTGCAGCGAAGGCTCGTTCCGTGGCTTGAATGTGCTTAACATTTTGCAGCTGCTGCTTCACAGCGCTGTTGTCACCGCCATAGCTTCTATTGCCCCATGCCACCACAGATCCATCAGCCAGGACTGCAGCAAATGCACCTCCAGTTGCTTGAACATGCTGCACCTGCTTCAGCTGTTGCTGAACAGCACTGCTGTCGCCTCCGTAGCCTTCACTGCCCCATGTGACAACGGATCCATCAGACAGGATAGCTGCGAATGCTCCTATGGTGGCTTGAATATGTTGCACGTTGGCCAGTTGCTTCTGAACGGCACTGCTATCACCACCGTAATCCTCATTGCCCCAGCTTACCACAGATCCATCAGCCAGAAGGGCGGCGGCAGCAATTGCTGCAGTTCCGTTCACCTGAATCTGCCGCACATTCTGCAGCTGATCCTGCACCATCACGCCTGGGCGGTTCTTGGAGTCTTTTTCGAAAATGCTGACTTGTTGGTCCCTTCGTAACAAACAGTTTCAAAACATCAAAAAGGGAGTTTTAAGAAGCCGCAAGAGACTGACAGCGGCGAAGGACTGGTCCCCCCAAACCACCAGGGATCCATCGCCGAGGATGGATAGAAATGCGCCATCATGAGCCGCAAGCTTAGGAAGGCTCACAAGGAAGCTCAGCTCTTCACCTGATTTCAACTCGAGGTCGCCCACGGTCAAACTACCCTCCAGGAGGTCACCCGAGGGGCTCAGCAAACGGCCCCTGAGCCCGGAACACAGCAGTTCTTGAGCGCGATCGCGGATTTCGTCGAGGCGGGTACCAGCGGTCGCTTCCACGCGCACCCGGGCTCCACTTAGCAAAGCAACATCGATGTAGAACGACATCAGACGGAGGCCCGTCGGATCTGTGAAGATGGGCGGTGATCTAAACAACCCAGAGACGTCAGGAAATACCTAGTCCATGTCCACAGCAAGCTACCGGTAAGCCTGAGCTTGCAGTACCAGAAACATTCACTACAGTCTACCAGGCTGCACATTGCCAGACTACGAGACAAGAAGACGTCACTACAGTGGTTGTTCACAATGATTACAGCCCATGTACCCAGACCCCCGGGAGGATCTAAAAAGTGGATTTCCTTATTAGTATTTGGGACACAAGCTACTAAAGGGAACTTTATAGGAACCCCTTGAAAGATCCACTTCTTGGATCCTCGCGGGGTCTCCTTCTCTGTGAGGTCAGAGAGGCTCTAGCCCGATTCAACATCACGCATTCAACGTCTGCGAAAACGGTTTAAGGTTTAGTGCTTTGGGGTTTAGGGATCAGGGCTTAACGTTTAAGGTTTTGGGGTTTAGGGAAAAGGGATTAGGGTCTAGGGTTTAAGGTTTAGGGATCAGGGTCTAGGTTTTGAACCCTACACCCTGAGTCTAAATCCATGTAAGGCTCGGAGCAGTGAGTCGTACCTTTCAAGACACAAGACATGGCTGATGAGGCCTCGGGATTCTACTTACGACCTACTGTAGGGGCCTTGATAATTAGAATAGGGTCTTGGGGTTCCGCATGATATGTAATCATGGTGCAATGAACCCCCAAAACCTATGCTCATCTAATTATTAAGGGCTCCTGCACAAATCTAAATAAGCTTCAAGGGGTTCAGGACGTTCTGGGGTTTACTTGCCCAATACCCGTCAATTGACTTACGTTCCTTGGACTCTAAGGCCATCTTATCCCCCAAATTCAAGACTCTAAAACCGCAAATCCTAAACCCTAGACCTGAAACCCTACAGGGAATTCACCGTATCTGCGGGATGTCGGGCTCTACATGAGTTCAATCCAGACTCCTACACTCGGCACCTTCCCTAAACTCCAAAACCACCGACACCCTCCCCTGAACCATGAGCTCCACGGGGCTAGGAGCTTGAGGTTTGTATAGGGTTTAACTTTTTTGACTTGGAGTTTAGTGTGCTGGGGATTCAGGCGTTTCGGCGTCTAGGGTTCAAAACCGAGCATTCCCTAAGCCCTAAACTCTAGGCTCTAAACCCTAAACCCGAAGCCCTAAACCCTAAGCCCCAGGCCCTAAACCCTGCTGCTGCCGAGGGCAAGGCATCCACTGCGACGCGATAGACGGCCGTCAGCGTCGTCTCCTCCTCCTTGGCCTTCGCGGATGCCCGAAGCTGCAAGATTCGAAGTTGAGGGCTTTTTTTTTATAAAACAAAAAGCAGGTTTAGGGTTCAGGGCTCAGGGATTAATGTCTAGGGTTTACGCTTTAGGGTTTAGGGTTTACGGTTTGGTGTTTAGGGCTCAGGTGGAAGGTTTTGAGGTCTAGAGGCAAGCCAAAGTCTTAGCTTGTTCACGGAACTTTCTCAAAAAGGAAATAAGAGACAGGATTCCCAAAAACAATAATCAGGATTCCATGCTAGCAGGAGGAGAGCGCCCCGAGCTCCTTCCAAGGAAGTCCTTTGTTATAAGCATGGATATAAGTCTCTTAATTGGGGATGCAACCATACTTCCCTTGCTTAAAACCTACTGGCCAAAGCCCCGGGAACCTCTGTGTACAGGATTTACGGAATAGGATTGGAGCTTCAGCTCTGTTTTGTTGCTTTGAGCTTCTTTTCATGCACGAAAGTGCGCATCGGTGTATGTATGTATATATATATATATATGTATGTATACACACACACATACCTACCTACCTACCTACTTGCATACCTACATACATACATACATACATACCTACATACATACCTACATACATACATACATACATACATACATGCACACACACACACACACATAACATACCGACCTACATACATACATACATTACTTACTTATTTACATATTGCTTATTAGTCTTCTGAGCCTTTATGCAGACGCGAAACCACTAGTGAAGGAAAAAGGGAAGGGAGACAGAAAGTAAAAAGGGTGCCTGGATAACTAAATAAGGCTGCGGGGTATACTTTACGATTATAACAATAAGAACCCTAAGGAACAGTATTGGTAACTGTTCAGGCTTCTGACTATGGCTTCTATATATCTATATCTCTGTCTATCTATATACGTTTATATGTCTCCCATGTCCCTTTTTCGGGGAATGTACAACACGCTCACAGCATTCAACCTTCGCAGGCGGAGGGTGTTTGAGCCAAATCCCAAGCTCTGAAGCCATAACTCATTTAGAATAGATCGGGTTCCTGTTAAAGGGTTCTATACGGATTATTAAAGGGCTACTCTACTCTAAGAGGTTAATTGTAGTTTAGAGCATTTGCAAGTCGACTACGGTTTCGGGACATCTTCATCTTCGCATAAGCATATACGGAACCCTACGGAATGGTATTGTTGATTTAGTTTGGCGGGGGTTCGCCTTGCACTTGTTAGCGCATACCTGTAATTCGCCCAAAATCCCCTATCGTTCAGGAAACACCTAATGGCTGTTTAGGCTCTTATACTTATATTGCTTTAAAAGCCTTAACCTCTAGAAACCCCTACTCGCCCTGGCCTCTGCTGCGTACTCCTCGCCCTCTGTTTCCTTCTTCTCGGCATCTGGGCCACGGAGAGCTTGAGGCTTCGAGCGAGCTTTTCTCCCCGCCTAAGTTAGGTTGGTTGAATGCCACTGGTGGCTGAGGGGCGTACCGGGAAGCACACCAAACCGGAAATACCCAGCTAAACCAACCACTATGTCCTATATCCAGGGTTTAGAGTTTAGGGTTCAGGGTTTTGTGTAAGCTTCAGAACGGTTGATGATAGAAATCCTGCCTTACCCAGTATAAGGAATGTACCATAATTCCCATAGTTCAGGGTCCTTAAGGTAATGCAGGATTTATGTCATCAACAGAAGAACCCCGAATAAGTGTTCCACCGGCAGTGCGCCAGCTGTCTTCCGACACGCTTAGCTCCCCAAATCCGAAACCCTACGGCAAGGAGTCATTTTGCTTGAGGCTGCGGTCACGCAGCTCAAGCACATCCCACCCTCCCTCGCTTTCTCCCGCGATACCTGACGCTTTCTTGTTATCCGAACTTGTGGAGGAGTGTGCGATGTCTTGCACTACGATGTTCGGTAATTATTTCTGTCACATTCGTTTGTATCTCAACGGTGCGTGAAAACCGGACAGCTCAAACATGCAAAATTCGTACTGACTTGCCCGAAACCTGAACTAGAAAAGAAGCTTTCATCCATCAATACCTGGACCCCAAAAGTATGTAGAATAATAGCCTGTTATGGTCTTGGGCCATTATTTTACCTACTTTGGGGGGTTTAGGTAGGCATGTACTTTTTCAAAAGAATAGAATTCATCCCCAACCCTAACCCCTAAAACCCCCAAACCCTAAACCCCAAACCCCCAGGGCCCTGACATTTCTTAGCCATGGTCTGCAGGTAGCACAGCAGCATGCTGAGCATCATGGGGTTCCCAAAGACGTCCTGCTTCTGCTACACACGGTTCTATTCAATAAGGGTTCTACTACAAGGTTCTATGAGGGTTCCACTTAAGGGATCGGATCTATTTGGGTTCTACCAAGTGAGTTCTACCGTAAAGTGGAGGCCCAACCCAACATAGCCTACTGTAATGAACTTAAACCTAACCCCGAACCGAGACCTTAAGCTAAACTTACACAAACACCTAAACCTGAACTTGAAGCCCTAAAGCCCCAAAGCCACAAAGCCGCAAAGCGCTAAAGCCCTGAAAGCCCTAAACGCCCCGAAGCCCTCGACCCCTGAAGCCGAAACCCCAAACCCTCCTTAAAGCCCTAAAGCCCTAACCCTCCCTAAAACCCTAAAGCCCAAAAGCCCCAAAAGCCCCAAGGCCCTGAAGGCTGAACCCTAAACCATGCCGAAAGCCCTCAGAACCCGACGCCCCCTCTCTCAACCCAGTCCTCAGCTCCGTCGCTTGCGGCCTCCTCTCCCTGCAGCCGAGAGGGGGTGGATTGAAGGCAAGCTTAGGGCCTTGGGGCTTGTAGGATTTCGGCTTTAAGGGGGCAGGGTGGGGCCTAAGGTATAGGGTTTAGGGCTTGAGTGTCTATGAAGAAGAGACCTGCGCCCCAAACCCAACACCCGACCCTACTCTTACGTTGCTGTTGGATCAGCTTGCTTTTCGGATCGGTTGCGTTGCTATGGGGGGGATCTTTCCTTTTCAAATTTTAGGGCTTCTTTAGGTGTTAGGGCTTTAGGGCAGTTGGTCTTCTTTCTTCGGGATTCAGCTTGAGATTTCGGGGTGGAGGCCTTAGTAAGCTGGGACTTTCCGAAAGCGGGGGACCCTAATGCAGTACCCTAAATGAGAGTTTCCGAAAAGGAGGGGTTCCTTTAAAGGGATTCTCTAAGGGTTCCTTAAAGGAATCTATAAGGGTTCTAAAGAGGGTTTAGGGTTTAGAGTTTTCGAAAATTAAGGGTTTCCTTAGTTTGGGGTCCTTATAGTAAGGATCCTACTACTCAGGGTACTGTAGTAGGATCCCTTGTTTTCGGAAACTCCCCAATAGTAGGATCCTTATGATCTGAAAATCAGGTACCCCTCATTTTCGGAAAATTCCCACCTAGCCCCGAAAACACCCCGACTCAAGACGTCCACCCTAGACAGACAACGCGGAAAACCCAAACCCCGAACCTCTAAGTGTACTTGGAGGGTCATGGGACTTAGTAAGTAAGGGATCCTTAAAAGGGCTCCTTCAAGGGATCTATAGGGGTTCCTTAAAAGGGATCTATAGGGTTTAGGGTTTAGGGTCTACTTGGAGGGTCATGGGACTTAGTAAGTAAGGTTAAAGTACCTTACATTGGGGTCATAAGTATAGTTACCCTAATTATAACCCTAGTTACTAAGTCCCATGATCCTTTAAGTAGTCTGAACCCGAAACGGTTTAGGGTTCACCTGTGGGTCCAAAAACCTACCGTTTTGAGGGTTAGACCCTCTATTTCAGGGGTCATAACCTACTATTTTGTAGGGCTTGGGGATAAAGGTAGGGCTTAGGGCTGAAACCTGAAACAGTAGAATTTCAACGCCATTTTTAAGCTCCAAAACCCCACAACTGGAAACGGAATACCGGCAAGCACCACAATCTAAACCCCAGGCCCTACAACCCCAACCCCCTGCAACTCAAACTCCTGACGGCTTATGCTAAAGTGCTGGTCCCGACAGTTCGTTAAGGCGGTTTCCACCACAAGGATCGGCTAAAATGATGTGCCTTCTTGAGGTTGCCGAATATACTAATATCGTTTAGTATCGAAGCCCCCTTACTTACTGAATGAAGCATTCGGGCGTGGTGTTCAGAGCATCAAGGACCGGCTCGCGGCATGCTTCCTTTCTGTGGACCCAGCCACTTGAGATACTTGAGGTCGAAAGTTGCACGAGCCCAAACGCCGAGATACTTCATCGGCACGAAACACAGATCTCACCGAGCTCCTGAGGTGAGAATCTGCCCAAGGTCAAGCTCCCATCGGGCCCTGAAAATGCCGAGGGTGCTGAAGCTTCAGGTGCAGCTGCAGATCCTGAGGCTTTTTCTTGAGAACTCAGGTAAAGCGTGGCGAACTCCTGCTCGGGCTCAGTCTGGTCTGTTCGGTAGAACTCCTTCTGAGGCCTGAAGGCACCAAGCTCCCTGAGGCCCTCCCGGGCAGCCATTGAGGCACTGTTGCTGAGGCTGGCCGTGTGCTCAACAGTCGTAAGGCAGGCCTCAAGCTTCAGCTGCTCCTTAGCGCCGCCGACCTGAGGATGGACTCCATGTCAGATGAGGCAGATGCCATGGGCCGCTTTGCAGGCTGCACGCAAGCTGATCCAGGCTGCTTTGCTTGCTGTTGCAATGCCTGCCTAGAAGCAAAAAAACAAAGGTCAGGAAGAGGCCTGTTGCTTAGAGTGGCTGTGTTTCGCATTTCGCAAGCTGAAACGCATTGTAAGCATTGTCGCACTAAACCCTCTCCGGCACACCACTCTGCAAAACCACGAACGCCCTAAATTTCTTACCAACCGAAACCGTCGCAATCTCCCAAAAATCCCGGAAGAATTCAATCCTCTAAACCCTAAGCCCCAAAACCGTCAACCCTCAACCCTAAACCCTAAGCTAGGCCGCAAACCCCATACCCCAAACCCCCCCAAGCCCCAAACCCTCAACCCTAAACCCTGCCAAAAAAACCCTAATACCCCAAATCCTATAACTCCTAAACCCTAAACCCTACAAAAGAAAAACAAAAAAAACAAGACCCCTTCCGCCTGGTCGGAAACATTTTGGGAGCTACGGAGCCTGCGTCGGCCGAAAGTCTTAGGGTTTAGGCTTCAGGGTTTGTAGGGGTTTGGGGTTCAGGAGATAGGGTTTAGGGTCGTAGGGAAAAGAGGGGTTAGGATTTTGGGGTTGAGGGGGGGGTTAGGGTTTAGGATTTTGGTTTTAGGGGTTTGCGGTTTAGGCTTAGGGTTTCGGGTTTAGGGCATTAGTGTATTAGGGTTTAGGCTTTAGGGTTTAGGGGTTTGGGGTTTAGGATTTTGGGTTTTTGGGTTTAGAGGCTTGGGGTTAAGGAGTTAGGGTTCAGGGATTAGGGGATTAGGGGTCTAGGGTTCAGGATTTTGGGGTTTAGGGGGGGGTTAGGGCTTAGGATTTAGAGTTTGGGGTTGAGGGTTTAAGGATTAGGGTTTTGAGGCTTCGGGTCTGTACCGGGGTCCGGCATGTTATCGCCGAGACTCTTGCTCAACAGTTCGGGGACGCTTTTTGTTCAGGCTCTTGGCGGCTTGAGGGTTCGAGGGTTCTAGGGTTTAGGGTTTAGGGCTTTCGGGTTTTAGGGCTTTAGGGCTTTAGGGCTTTAGGGTTTTCGGGTTTTAGGGCTTTAGGGCTTTCGGGTTTTAGGGCTTTAGGGCTTTAGGGTTTTAGGGCTTTAGGGCTTTAGGGCTTTAGGGCTTTAGGGCTTTAGGGCTTTAGGGCTTTAGGGCTTTAGGGCTTTAGGGCTTTAGGGCTTTAGGGTTTTAGGGCTTTAGGGCTTTAGGGTTTTAGGGCTTTAGGGCTTTAGGGTTTTAGGGCTTTAGGGCTTTAGGGTTTTAGGGCTTTAGGGCTTTAGGGTTTTAGGGCTTTAGGGCTTTAGGGCTTTGGGGTTTTCGGGCTTTAGGGTTTTCGGGCTTTAGGGTTTTAGGGTTTTAGGGCTTTAGGGCTTTAGGGTTTTAGGGTTTTAGGGCTTTAGGGCTTTAGGCTTTAGGGTTTTCGGGTTTAGGGTTTTAGGGCTTAGGGTGTGCCAATCGAAAGCGCGCGTTTGTGGGCGCGCACTGGCCCACAGGCTGACCCACCCCTACGTCCATGTCAACTGTGGCCTGGCTGACACCGGGGATGCCACCGAGGAGGAGTCCGCCCGCAGAATCTCCCGCGGAGTGTCCGAGCCCGAGCCGCATGAGCCGCCGTCTTCGTAGTTAGCACGGCATCATCAGGAAAAGGCCAAGACATTGAAGGAACACGCAGAAGCACTCAAAACCAGATCCAGGCAAGGCACGCGCTGGTCGCCTCCCCTGTTGTATGGAGAACCTAAAAAGTCATCCAAGGCTGGCGAGTCCTCGGTGATGTTTGCATTGGTGGAATCAAAAGCTCTTACACAATGCAGATTAATGCATGCGTGAGGGTTCGGTTAGGGCTTTAGGGCTTTAGGGTTTAGGGTTTTCGGGTTTTAGGGTTTAGGGCTAAGGGTTTAGGTTCTGAGGTAAGTTTAAAGCCAGGGTTTGCGGAGGTGTATACGGTTCGGGGATGGCGGTGTAGTTTCGGTTTCGGGTGAGGGCGTAGTTGTAAGTGCTCCAGTGTTTCCATATACTCTACACATTACATAGTGAGGCCCTCGAAGAGCCCTAAACCCTAAACCCTATTTACGGCTTTGGGTGACTAAATGGGGAACTGACAAGTTGGCTACAGATGCGATGATGCACAGTATCCGACTGGGGGTTATTATATTCCCTATACCCCACTTAGAACCATCATAAAAATGTTAGTTTTAATATTCTCTTGGGTTTTTATATGAACAAAAATTAAAACGTCCTAAGGCGACTATAGTTTCCTGCCGTGCTTGTTGCCTGCTGGCCCGATCGTGGGTTCAGGCTTTGCCTCATCATCATAAAAACATGGTTTTTGGGGGCCCGTTCTACTATAACTAATGATCAGGAGCCCCCTAAAACACTATAGGTTACCACGGTTGATGATATAAATCCTGCATTACCTTAAGGACCTTAAACTATGGGAACTATGGTATATTCCTTATAATGGGTAATGCAGGATTTCTATCATCAGCCGTATTAAGGCCCCTACAGTAATTTAAAGCTTGAACACCGCAGTCTCTACCGCAAAACCCGCACCCAAAGGGTCCCAAAATGGCAGACGACAAACTCCCCGAAGCCTAAAACCTAAACCTGTAATCCTCAAACCCAAAATCTAAACCCCAAAGGTCCGCGAAACCCCTGAGCGCTCAACCCAAACGCCCAAAAGGTCCTTCTTGAGCCTCTTTCGGACAGCCGCCTTGTACCTAGTTACGCCCTCAGCCCTAAACCCCAAGCTACACTTTAAGATAGCCTTAAAACCTAAACTCAAATCTACTCAGCCGACACCCCACAAACTCCAGCCAAGCCCCGTGTACCTTGCCAACAGCTTGTCGTAAGCTTCAATACCTTCGGCACCCAGACGCGCGTAGGCAACCTCGGCCAATTACATGTTTACATTTGTATATAAACACACGCACACACACATATATATATATATATATATATATATATACATACATACACGCATGCATACATACGTACACATACATACATACATACATACATACTTACATACATGCATACATACATACATGCATGCATGCATACATGCAAACATGCGTGCATGCGTAAATGTATATATATATATATATATATATATATATATATATGTGTGTGTATATATTATATATATATATATATATATAATATATATATATATATATACACACACACCGTTTTTGAACCCCCAAACCGGCTGATCTTATTGTTGGCGTAGATTAACAAACGAATCGAATAGCTTGCAGATAGCTATTCAGAGCATGCGTAATCGTCACAAGTGTCGACGAACTAAAACTGTAGGGCTTGTGACTTTGATTCTAACCCTGAGGCTTCGTATGCCGATATAGTATATACATAGGCCTTGAAGTACCAGTATAGGAACCCCTGCAGGGCCTAAGCATAGCCTATGTCCGATGTCCTATGTTTGAGAGATTCCGAAAACAGGGGACCCTAGTGTAGCACCCTAAAGGACCCCAAAATAAGGTACCCCTAATTTTCGGAAACTCCCTCATATAGGTGCATGGAGCCTTTTGGGAAAATTAGAAAGAGGGTTGCGGGCTCAAGGCGGCTAACTCCGGTGAGGCTTCGGGTGGAGGATCCAGGCTTCAGGGTTTAGGGTTCAGGGTTTAGGGTTTAGGGTTTAGGGTTTAGGGTCTTAAGGATTCAAGTTTTGTCTAGGGTTTAGGGTTCAGGATTTCAGGTTAGGGCTTTGCATTTAAGTTTTAAGGATTACAAAATAAAGGGTCTAGGGTTTACGATTACAGTGTGGCTTTATGGCTTAGGGTGTCCGGATTAAGACTGTTTAGGTTCATGGGTTAAGCTCTCATTCAGCCCCAAACCCTAAATGCTCCCATGCTGAGGACCCTAAAGTAAAAGCCAGAAAGTTGGAATATGATTATCCTAAACCCTTTGTGGTAAATTATAAGGTATCCTACCCTGAAACCATATTCCAACTTTCTGGAGTTCCCTTTATAGGGGACAACGATCCACAACACAACATGCTGTCACACACGAATACGAAGGTGTGAATGGGCCTGATGCTCGAATAAACATGTACGGCTTTACTACAGTAAACCTGCCACATACCCCAAAGCTCTGTTCTAATTGTTCAGGCCCCTATATCGTAAAACCGTCGAAGTACGCCTTGCAGGAATCCTTCAAAATGAAGAAACTTTCAAAGAACCCGGTTCCCCTAAACCTCAACCCCTGAATCCTGAACCCTATACTATACTGAACCCTCAAACCTGAACCCTACCTAAATCCTAAAACCACACCTGGACCCCAAAAGTATGTAGAATAATGGCCCTTTATAGGGGGTTTAGGCAAACCCTAAAGCCAGATTTGGACCCTAATATAGCACCCTAAATAATAGGATCCTGATTATAAGGACCCCAAAATAAGGAACCCCCCAATTTTCGAAAGCTCTTAACCCTAAAGACATTAGCGAAATGCGAGTTTCTACAAACGAGGGGACCCCAGTATAGCACCCTAAATGGTAGGATCCTGATTGTAAGGACCCCAAAAGAAGGTACCCCCAATTTTCGGAAACTCCTTTTAGAACCCTTATAGATCCCTTTAAGGAACCCTCAAAGATTCCCATTCAGCCAGAGAGCCATCCGCTTCTGCTCATCGGAAAGGCTCTCCAGTCGCATCGTCAGGATCAACTCAGGATCCGACTGCGCAAGACGGATGAAGGCTTGGGGCTTAAGGCTTAAGGGCCCTAAACCCTAAACCCCTAAACCCTAGGGTTTCCGTTTTTTTGGGGTTCGAGTACAGAGTTCAAGCTTTGGGCTTGGGATTCCGGGTTCTTTAGGTTTCGGGGGGTTCAGGTTCTGTTCTGAAGTTGCAAATACAGGGCTTAGGCTTTAGGGTTTGGGCTCGAACTCTTTGAGGTCTTCCAAGGCCCTCCTCAGAGAGTCTTCTCGGGTTTAGGGTTCAGGTGTTTGGGGGTTTTAACCGGGGTACAACCTGTGGGACCAGGGGACTTCGCAGCTCTTATGTGATCACATATGCATGTGTGCACGTGTGTGTGAGTGTGTGTGTGTGTGAATATATGCGTATAGTGTAATGTTACTTCTATCATGCCGTGATGTATCGTGTATACATACATGAATACATCCATCCATCCATCCATCCATCCATCCATCCATCCCTCCATCCCTCCATGCATCCATCCCTCCGTCCATCCATCCATCCATCCATCCATGCATCCACCCACCCACCCACCCATCCATCCATGCGTACACACATACATGCATGCACAGATAAATGCCTGCATCCACAGGACGGCATACACGTGATGGTAACTTAGTTCAGACTCCTAAACAAAACCACTGCGACTATTCAGCAGCGGCTACCAGCGCGGAGAAACCTCGGCCCAAACCGCGAAGCCCTGCCTCCTCAGGGGCTGCTGAGAAGCTCAGGGGACTTCTGTAGGGGCCGTAAGAATTAGAACAGGGTTTTGGGGCCCATTATACTATAAAATATGAAGAGAACCCCCAAAATGGTGTAGGTAAGTATTTGAGGCCCCTACAAAACACGGGATTAGATTCAGTACCACCTAGTTACTCAACCACCCCGATTCCTAAAGTAGACCGCAGCCAGACACTGTGTCCCGAAGCCATGGACCTACCCACCCAGCCACCCAACCACCCAGCCACACCCCAAGCAGAAACAGAACAAAAACTAGAAAAGAAAAACCTACACATGCAAAAAACAAATGACAACAGCAAAGGACTGACCTCCAACGCAGATCTTCCACTGAGGAGCGGCCGCGAGGTCACCACCTGCAAGAAGAAGGCTGTCATTTGCTGCTGGTTTTCCTCCTAAATCCCAAGGGTAAAAGGAGGGGCCCCTTAAGAAGGACTGCTAGGTATATACCCTTCATATAGCTCTTATATACCCATTATATAGCCCATTATAGGGTAGGGGTCGCCATTATGGGTCCCTCCTTGTCCCCTTTGAGAAACCCTAGGCCCTAAACCCTAAACCCCTTTGGGCTCCAGGCCTTAATATGGCCAACGCCAATGCTGAGGACGGTTTCGAGGGCAACCAGTTCGGGCTACGCGGGGTTTAGGGTTTAAAGGGAACTCCAGAAAGTTGGAATATGGTTTCAGGGTAGGATACCTTATAATTTACCATAAAGGGTTTACGACTATCATATTCCAACTTTCTGGCTTTTACTTTAGGGGAAGAAGAAGTGCTTGAAAAACGACTCCGGGATCGAGATTTCAGTGTTCACAGTTTTTTGCAGTCGAGGCTTGGCGTTTGGGGGTTTAGGGTTTGCGCTTGGGCCCTTGGTTTTCGGGTTTAGGGTTGTAGAAAAAGCAAGACCTCATCAGTCCCGAACCGAAACCCGACAGACCCAACGTACCCAAACCTTAAACAAGCACGCCAAAATCCCCAAACAAAAACGGCTCGGCGATCAAAACACATCACCTCCACTGCGAAGCCTTGAACCCAAACTCTCAACCCGAAACAAGTTGTCTCTGCTTTGTTGAAACTTTCGCATTCCAAACCACAGGGACCAGTTAATCCTAAACACAAAAACAGTTGGGATTTTAGGGTGTAGGGTTCAGGGTCTACGGCAACAGCTTTGAGATGCGAAAAAGACAAGAAACAGTTGCTATCACGCCCAAGCCACGACTAAGTTCTTCGAGCGCACGAGGACCCGGATGAGACTCTCGACAGCCTGCGCACGGGCGTGGTTGCTTCAGGGTGAAGGGCTGAGGCGTACGCTCTCCGAGGCACTTAACCCAGTAAACTCCTGACTTAAAACCCCAAAGCCCTGAACTCCAACAAAGCCATGAGCCCTTGAACCCAACACACCTAAACTGAACACCAATCTCCCACACCCGAACTCCTGAAACTCATCCCTCGACCCCAAACCCTACACCTTAACTCAAAGGGGAAAAGGAGGGACCCTTAATGGGGACCCCTACCCTGTAATGGGCTATATAATGGGTATATAATAGCTATATTAAGGCCCTTGGATTAACCATCCCTCCGACCCTTCAGCTCTTCACAAGACCCCCACTCCTAGCTTCGGCAACCGACGCGCCCCAACACCTGAAATCCCCAAACCCAGCTGTAGCCATGGTGGACGGGTTCCTGAAAGCGCACCGCATTGTGGTATCTTACCCCTATATGGGGGGAAAGTAATGCCTTTCTCTGGTAATGTAGGCCTCTGATTGATAAACTTCCTAGCTTAAAACGGATGATGACAGGATCCTAATTCGAACGCCCTTAACAAGAAGAGGACTTCTCAATCACAGCTTTGCCTGACCCATCTTTGGGACCCTGCAAAGGGGTTTGAGGCTTAGGGTTGAGGTTTTAGTGTCAAGGACTTAGGATTTTGGGTTTAGGGTTTAGGGTTGAGGTTTTAGTGTCAAGGACTTAGGATTTTGGGCTTAGGGTTTAGGGTTGAGGTTTTAGTGTCAAGGACTTAGGATGTTGGGTTTAGGGGTTAGGGCTTGGATGGTAACCCTAAACCCTAAGCCGTCCCGAGCCAGGCCTTTGTGAGGCGTTCTGCATCCTCCAAGCCCTCAAAGAGGAAGACGACACGGGACATACTGATGGCCTCCCCATTCGCACTTATGGCTCGGAGGTGGGAGCCACAGTTTAGGGTTTAGGGTTTAGAGGTTTAGGATTTAAGGGTTTAGGGGTTTAGGGGTTTTGGGGCTAGGGTCTATGGGTTCAGGGTTTATAGGCTTTAGGCTTGAGGGTTGAGGCTTAGGGGCTTAGGGTTTATGGTCTAGGGTTTAGGTGGTGAGGGCTTAGGGTTTAATATCAGCTCGGCCTCTTCGTCCATCACTTGCATTGCCTCGGCCTCCTGGATCTCTTCCTCCTTACGGATCGTCTCCAACTGCTTTTCGATCTTTTCTTTTTCCACATATGCCTCTTGGGCAATCTTTCTCATTTCCTCTCTCACTTCCGCCTCCTTCTTGATAAGGCGCTCTTTCAATGGTCGCTGTAGACCGCAAACTTCTTCCTTTTCTCGTCGATCTTCCGTGACACTTGCCGACGTTCGCATCGGCATTTTCTGTTTCTGCTCATGACCCAGTGGAGCTTAGGGTGTTAAGTTTAAGGCAGAGCTTCTTGGGGCCAAAGGATACTGTAGCAGTTACCCTTGGGTTCAAAATAGCCCAAAAGCCTTATGTAGTATGGTCTTTGGGCCCAAGATATGAGTCCTTAGATCCCTAGGGTTAGGCTACAGCTTCAGTTTTCCTGGAGCAGGGCATTAGGGTACAAAAGGGGACTTAATCGGGTATGTTCAGGGTTTAGGGGTTTAGGGTTTAGGGTCATTATACCATATTTGTAGTCAGGAACCCCCAAAATAGTATTAGTATTACTTAGGCTCCTACATCAAGGGTAGAGATGGTAAACCGGAGTATGCTGGAGCCCGGTTCGGCATACAACATTTTAAGGGGTTTAGGCGCTGTGGGTTTCTAGTTCATGGTCGGGATAGTATTCAAAAGTGTATTCTTTTGTTCCTTTTATTCCTTATTGAATTTAAGTACCCATGAAACGTTACCAAACCATGGCAAAGGCTTAGGGTGTATAAGAACCCTTTGTGGAGCAGCAGAAGTGCACCGGTTGCTGGTCAAGCGTGTCTAAATCTGCGATCTGGAGCCGAATCTAGGAGCTAGTCTGGCACCCACCAAACCCAGGACAACAGGGTCATTATCAAAAGGACCCTGAAGAGGGAAATAAAACAGCCCCAGAAACCGGGCTTGAAGGTGATCCTGCAGATTGAAGAAAAACCCTAAAAACCATGAACCCTAAACCATAAACCCTAAAACCTAAAACCCTAAAAACCCTAAAACCCTAAACCGTAAACCCTAAACCCTAAAACCCTAAAGAGTAAGTTCGTAAGAAACCCCAATCTCGAAGACTTAGGGCTTGACTCAAGACCTGCCTGTCCGATCATGCTGTATCGCAAACTGTCCTTGCGAAGCAGAGGTGAAGATGGTTTAGGGGCTTAGGGGTTTAGGGTTTAGGGTTTAGGGTTTAGGGGTTTAGGGTTCAGGGTTTAGGGGTTTAGGGGTTTAGGGTTTACTAACCAGCGGTGGTCTTGGGGTTCCCTGGGCTCTTTTGCTCCTTGTTCAATGGGGATTGTCATCATCCCTGGCACCTTAGCTCCTCCAATATCAAAGGTTAGCTTAGGGTTTAGGGTTTACGGCTTAGGGGTTTAGGGGTCTCGGAGTTAAGGGTTCATACCGACACTTAGAACCTGCGCCCCAGGCTTCCTCATCGTCGACGTTTTCATCCAAGAGCCCCGCAGCGCCCAAAATCCCTGAAACCGGCCGCAAAGCCTTGAGTCCACAAACCCCGAACTCAGGACTGATCTGTCCTACGATCAATGATACAAGCCCTGCATTACCCATAATACGGAATATGCCGTTTGTCCCATTGTGTTAGGGCCCTTAAGGTAATGCAGGATCTATATCAACACCAGTGGGAAGCCACTCGACCTCTCGATCCTTCTGAAGACTATGCCTTTCCAGCCCGTTTCGTTGGTCCGAGATCCTAGAAGCCGAACCTCGACAATAGACCGCGGACCCCAAAGCCCTGCTTTAGGGTTTAGGGTTTGAGGCAAAGGGTTTAGGGCTTAGGGTTTAGGATTACAAGGTATCAGGGTGTAGGGTTTTTAGGGTTTAGGGCCCACCTCCGAAAGCTTAGTTCGCAACTACGGCACTCGAAACTGTCGCAGGCTCCATAGGTACTACTAGTATCAGTCTGGATTTAGCCTCCTAAGTCCATACTGAGGAGAGTCCTTGCGGGCCTAGTTCCGCCAAACCCTAAACCAACCGATGGATCCTCTTGGTGGAGAGTCGTGGCTTCCTAAACCCTAAACCCTAAACCCAGACGGAGCACCGCACATGCGGGATGTATGGATAGCTCTCGAAGTTTGGGTCCCTGTTAGGTTACTTTCTATCAGGGTGCCGTACGTACGACTTTGGGGACCGAAAACGGGACCGTAATTTAGAGAACTTCCCACATAGGATTTGAGGCTTAGGGCTTAGGTTCATGGGTCAGACATGCTTGATCTCGGGCTGTCTAGGATGCTAGCAATCAAAAACTACCCGAGGGCTCAAACTTGGGACTGAACCGCCCTGGGGCCAGGCTTCAAAGCTGATGTAGGGTTTAGGGCCTTAGGGTTTAGGGTTTAAGGTTTTAGGGTTTAGGGTTTAGGATTTAGGGTTTTAGGGTTTAGGGTTTAGGGTTTAAGGTTTTAGGGTGTTAGGATTTAGGGTTTAATGTAGGGGCTTAGTCATTAGAGGGTTTGGGCTCCTGTATAGTAAATTAGAATCAGGAGCCCTAGGGAATAATCTTGGCAATCAGTCAGGTCCTTTACTACTCAGGCTAAAGGTCTAAGAGCTTTGGATTCGCTCTTAGATTGTAAACTTGATCAACGTAAGCAGCCATTGCTTGTCCTGAAACCCACCAAGGCATGGAGACATCTCCAGCAGAGGGTTAGGGTTTAGGGAGAGAGCCACCTGGATCTCGCTCCGCAATGAAGAGGCAGTCGACGATACGGACTTTAGCTGGACTTTCACCTACGATGCGGCCTCTGACGGCTGTCCCGACGCAGCCACGGATGTTGCAGGCGGCAGAAGTCCGAAATAGACCAAGTAAGACTACAACGTCAAGAACCATGGGATTCAAGGGACGAACGATAACACGGCAATAAACTTTCAGACCAATAAACCCCAGTTCCTAATACACCCGCAACCTAGTTTGACCCCAAATCGTAGTTGCTATGGCCCAAAAACATTTCGGAATATGTGCCTGTATACTGTATACTTCACTGCAGGATGACTACCTCACTGGCCAATCAATCGTCAAACTTATACCTAACTACAGTTTCTCCAAGTATAATGTATCCCTACTTCCTGTCCCCTGATCGTACAGGCAGGTAGAAACCTTAATACAAACCTTCTCAAACCCGTATGAGAAAGCCCTGTCGAACCCGCACACGGACCCTCGTGAGAACCAAACGCCAACACCCTAAACTCTAAACCGTAAGCTCTCAACCCTAAATTAAACCCTACTGCCTTAAAGGGACGTTACTAGTGACTTGACTTTGAAGTAACCAAGGAGGAGTAAGTGTAGACTTTCATGTCACAATGGTTCCGTCAGGTACAAAAAACATATTCAAGTAGTATCGGGGCCTTAACAATAGTTAGAACAGGGTTTTGGAGCCCTTTATACTATTTTTATAATCAGGAACCCGCAAAATACTATAGGTAATTACTAAGGCCCCTGTACTACACCCCCAGAATACCCCTTATAGTAACCCTAACAAGACCCTCTTTGAGCACCCTCTAAAGAAACCCTATTCTAATTAATCATTAAGGCCCCTACTTGGAGGATCATGGGACTTAGTAAGTAGGGTTATAAGTACCTTAATTGGGGTTATAAGTAGTTATAAGTATAGTTACCCTAGTTATAACCCTAGTTACTAAGTCCCATGATCCTTAAAGTACAGTCTCCCAAACCCATCAGGCTCCAGTCCTCACCGTAAGTGAGGCGCAGGTAGTTGTCGAACCAATCCTTCCCGAAAATGAATTAGAGTTTCGGGTTTTGAATGGGGAAAATATGATCCGTCTGGGGTTGAGTGAGTTTCGGGTTTTGAATGAGAAAAAATGATCCGTCTGGGGTTGAGTGACTTTCAGTAGTTAGTGGGATTTAGAGGTTGGGGTTTTGGGGTTGGGGGCTTTGGGTTTAGGGCACAGCTGTGTTTGTTTGAACGGGATTTGGAGTTGGGGTTTAGACTGCTTGGAGGGTCGGGGGACTTAGCAAGTAGGTAGTAAGTAGACTTATAAGTACCCTACAAGGGACCCTAATTGGGGTTATGGTACAAGTAAGTCCCTAAAATAACCAGTTACTAAGTCCCCCGACCCTCCAAGTGGTTGAGAGGGTTTATAGTTAGGATCTGTCGTCGGCTTTGGCTTCGCTGGGTTGTTGAAACTTCTGCTTTTTGAGCTTCCCAGACCCCCGGGAGGATCCAAAAGGTAGATCCCTTAATGGGGGGTTCCTATAAAGTACCCTTAGTAGTTTAGGGCCGCAAATTAGGGGATCTAATTTCTGGATCCTCCCGGGGGTCTGGGTTTAGGAAAGAGCCCAGAAGGCCGAAAACACGACTAGCACAGAGTAATTTTTCAGCGAAATCATTGAAGCACCCGTTGATGAATGAACAGTTCGCTTCACGATCCTGAACGCCCTGTCACTCGGGGCGGCGGCTTGCAGCAGGAAAGGGGATAGGAGAGTTTATTGTTTAGTTAGGGTTTAGATAACGGCTTTAGGCTTTGAGTAGGAAAGATCGAAGGCCCCCGTGAGTTCTTGCCCAATCAAGGATGGATGCCTGGTGGGGCATGGGTCTACTACAGGTCCCGGAATGATTCGAGTTCATCGCTGCTGCCAATATGACCCTGGCAGCCACCACCCCAGGTGATGACAGATCCGTCGCCCAGGATTGCAGCAAATGCACTAACAGAAGCTTGGATCTGCTGGACATTCCTCAGCTGCTCCTGCACGGCACCGCTGTCGCCACCGCAGTCAGCGTCACCCCAGGTGACCACAGATCCATCACCGCGGATTGCAGCAAATGCAGTATAAGAAGCTTGGATCTGCTGGACATTCTTCAACTGCTCCTGTACAGCAATGCTGTCGGCACCATAATCGGCATCGCCCCATGTGACGACAGATCCATCGCCCAGGATTGCAGCAAATGCATGATAGGAAGCTTGGATGTCTTGCACATCTCGCAGCTGACACTGCACTGCACTGCTGTCGCCCCCAAACTGGGGATAACCCCAAGTGACCACAGATCCATCCCCTAGGATTGCAGCGAATGCTTGACTAGAAGCTTGGATCCGCTGCACATTTTTCAGCTGCTGGTGTACGGCACTGCTATCGCTACCATACACGGCCATTCCCCAAGTGACGACAGCTCCATCGCCCAGGATTGCAGCAAATGCTCCCGCGGAAGCTTGGATCTGCCGGACAGTCTTCAGTTGCTCTCGTGCGGCACTG